TTATAGGAAACTTTAAGTTCGGTTTAAGCGTTTCTTATTAACGCGTCCATTTTGAAGAACTAAACTATCGCGCAAACTGAGAAATGTCTGTACAACATTCTTGACACGACGCGCAACCCCAAAAAGTAGGAGGGTCTGATACTCACAAGGAATCGCCATGGTGGAGTCATTGGGATCCGGGCTATATTCCTCTCGAGGGAAGTAGTCGATGTTGAAGCAATGCAGATCCATTTCTCCTGCTGCAAGAAAACACAGCGTTATTAGATCAGTTTGTCTTTGTTTCCACACCAGGATGGGTTAAGGGGCTACTGACTGTTGCTGAAGATATAGGATCGTTGGTGTTTCATGTAGCATACTTTGAAATACTACGCAACCTAAGATGTTGAAGCAGCTCGGATTATAGCCGGAGTTTCTTAAAATTATACTGATTACAAAAGTGGTGGCTTGAGAGTGTGCTTAAAAAGTGCAATTATTATTTCTTCACAGAAATTTGAATGGGGATACAACAAGGAAATAAATAAAACCTTCCACACTTAGATTCGTTTTTCCTTTTGCAGTGGGAAACACATAAAAATAAGCAAATAAAATATTACAATTTCAGACAAAAATGTACTCTGGAAATACTTCACGGTTTTTAATACAATTCTGAGACTGTTTAAGCAGAAGAATGTGGACTGGACGATCAGGGTTCTATTCCTGACAGGGTTAGAAATTCATTAGTTAATTACAATATTGGTACTACCCTATCTCCTATACAATGATCACTGGGCTTTCTTTCACCGGAATAGAGCGGCCGCAGCGTGAAATGAACTACTCACCTCCATCTAGAGCCGAGTTAAGTATGCGTGGAGCTACACCTCCACTACCACATATGCCATCATGGTATGATACTCATACACAGGGACAAATTTACCTTATAATACCAATAAATAAGGGCGTGAATAGCTCAGGTTGTTAGCCGCAAAGTTTCGGCGGCGGCGGTCCGAGTTCGATCCAATATCAGGTTGTGGGATTTGTGGTGGACGAAGTGGAATTGGGGCAGGTTTTCTCTGTGTACTTCGGCTTCTCCTACAAAATCTCATTCCAACATTTTTTTCCTTGGCACTACAGCCCCAGTGGGCCTAGGCCTACCTCCTTGAACTTCTCCGTTCACTTCGGTTTTTCTAGATCTTACACATTCGGTAGGAATCCTTTGGCGGGTGATCAGATCGTCGCAAGACCTCTACCTGTAGACAAACACAAAAGACCGCACACACACAAATTAACATCCATGTCCTGAGTGGGATTCGAACCCACGATCCCAGTTTCCAAGCGAGCGAAGGCAGTACATGACTTAGACCGCTCGGCTACCGTGACCAGCTCATTCCAAAAATTACTCCACATTTATTTTTCAAACTTTACCAATTCAGTATACATATTAGGGCCCAACACCGTCAACTTTTTGACAGTACCTCGCTAACCTTATGGACTCAACACTGAGGCTAACCGCAGGGTTACTACAAAGATCGTGATGGCCCGTTTCCCTCCTTAACTCAGTGCGGTTGGTACAAACCACTGATCGCTTGATAATTCTAACGGCAGATATTTGGCAAGATACCAACCCTGCCTTGAATATTACAAAACCTCCTATTGGCTGAAGAGTCGGAATAGCTTAATAGGAAAAGCGATAGGCTACAGGCTGAACGGCCGTGGTTCGATTCTAGGTACGGGCAACAAATTTATCTCTAGTCCTCAATGTCCAGATGTGTCTGGAGCCCAGTTAGCCTCCTATCCAAAGGGAACGGGAGTTTCTTTCCCCCTAGGTAAAGCAGCTGTAACGTGAAGCTGACCACGCACCTCATTTTAATTCCAAGATCAAATATGGTAGAACTGTACCTCCACTACTCCATACGTCTTCAGTGTGGAGGTTTTAATTAAACACAGCGACAACTTTACATATTTACCTCTCATTGGTTACTTCTCGCTAGGCATTTTGCCATGTCTTAATCAGTATCTCTTATAAATGCAAGTTTTGTGTATTTTGACATAATTCCCATAAAAAGGAAAGACTTTTCCTTGCAATTATTTAATTAAGCGACAAGTCAGGAAGATGTATGTGGGAGTGGAAGTACAGCTCCACGATTCTTGAAGGAGGTGAGTGGCCAGCTTCACTCATTGGCCGCTTTACCCCTTGGGGAAAGCTCGCGTTACAGTCGCATAGGAAACTGGGTGGGCCCCAGCAAATTACTCTATTTATAGGTATAATTTTTTTTTTCCTTGGCACTACAGCCCCAGTTGGCCTAGGCCTACCTCCATGAACTCCGTTCACTTAGGTTTTTCTAGATCTTACACATTCGGTAGGACTCCTTGGGCGGGTGATCAGCTCGTCGCAAGGCCTCTACCTGTAGACAAACACAGAAAAACGCACACAAACATCCATGCCCTGAGTGGGATTCGAACCCACGATCCTGGCTTCCGAGGGAGCGAAGACAGTGCATGCCTTAGACCGCTCGGCTACCGTGACCGGCATAGGTATAAATACTCGTTATATATCTCTTTCACCTTCCGGATTTATTTACTTTTTCTCTTCTCTCACTTCCACTTTGGAGCATAGGGCTGATTTCTCAGTTTCGTGATCACTTTACAGACGGTAGGACTCCTTGGACGGGTGATCAACCCATCGCATGGCCTCTACCTAAACACAGGACAACACAAAACACAGAATAAACTCATACACATACCAAACATCCATGCCTTTTTTTTTGTAGGATTGGAACCAAAAATCACAACTTCCGAGCTAGCGAAGACAGTGCTTGCCTTAGACCGCTCGGCTTCCGTGACCGGTTCCGGATTTATTGAGAGTTCTAAATATTTAAATTCTCACACTTAACCTATTAGTTTAGTATCTAAACCAATCTCATGTCCGTGCCATATCTCAACAGCTTATTGGCCGGCTTCCACCGCGGCGAGCCGCGTTCGATCCCAGGTCACGTGATGTGGGATTTATGGTGGACGAAGTGGCACTGAGACACGTTTTCTTCCCGAATATTTCGGTTTCCTCCACAAAGTGTCATTCCACCAACTGCTACAGTTTCATCTATCATCATTATTATCTGCTGTATTCGCTTCCATGTGTGCTACATGTCCAACCTCACATCATCCTTCCTTCCCAATAATGTCTTTGACGAAGAGAACAAATTATAAAGCTCAGCATTATGTAATTTTCTCCATCTTCCTTGTATTTCATCCCACCTATGTCTAAACATTCTGCTCAGCCCCTTGCACTCAAACACCCAAATTCTAAGTTCTTGTTTTACTATAAGAGACAGAGTTTCACATTCATAAAGGCTACAGGCAGAATTATAGCTCTGTACCTCATCTACATAGAGAGTTACAAATAAACAAATAAGTCTTCTGTAGAGTTACCGCCTATTTCTTTAAATTCCACGGGCATTTTTATAACGAGGATAATATGATGACAACTTTTGACTGTTTTGCAACCTTCCCGCGTATGCGTGCATTAATGGTAGATTGCTTGTTGGTTTGGTTTGTGGGAGTCCCTGACGTATGGACTAGTACAACCGCGAATCAGCCAAAATGACAAGTTAATGGTTGTAATGGGAATATAAACCGTGGGAGAGATTCAAACCAGTGACAGAGACAGAAAAGCACAAAACCCTTCCTCATAATGCGGTTATTTATTGACTAATAATTTCAGCAATTAGAAAATTTTGAAATTCCCATTGTTTCCCGTATTATTGGGGCTTTGCTCTGCTCATCAAGTAGCAGTTAAAGTAGAAGGAAGAACAAATACAAAAACACAACACTATGACATTTATCAGATGACACATGGCTAAGTATTTGTGATGCTGAAATATGGAACCTAATAATAAAAATAATTCAATTCAATTCAATTCAATTCTTGGTTTTATTTACGTGCTGTACTCAACAGCTGGTAGCCAATTACAGAGTCAGCACGAGGACACAATATACAGAGAGATTGATGAAAATAGTACAAAAATTCAATTGCAATATGCACAATTGAAAGAACACAATTAGATGTTAGAGACGAAACCAAGCAGTGTCTAAGTAAAACATATGTCAAAGGTACTACAAAAGTAAATATATTAATGATGAAGTGACAACAAGTGNAAAATGTCTAAAGAATTACACAATAATAATAATGTCTTTTATTATTAAAGGGTACGCTGTAACGTAGCTGGTTAAGGGGCTATGCTACAAGCCGGAATGTCGCGGGTTCAAGTTCCGATGAGGTCACTGGATTTTTTTCAATTCACCTAATCCTTCCAGCCCCACGGCCATGGGGTTGACTCAGCCTCTAATAGAAATGAGTACCATGAATTAATTAAATAATTATCCTGGGAGTAAAGCGCGGCCGGCACGTAAGGCTGACAACCTTACCGCCATCTTTGAGCCGATTGTCTAGATAATGTGGGAGCCTCAACGTCTCACAACCCTATGGGCCTTCATGGCCTGCTACAGGGATAGCTTTACTTTTAGTTTTATTATTAAGAACAGAACAAACGAAAGTCCTTGCAACATCGTTTCATAACAATTTCTTTTTTATTCAGCATTTACTATATTGAGGGTAAAAAGACTAGAACACCACCCGCCGTTTCGTCCTGCTTTCCAACATGAGCTTGTATATATACAAAACGTTCAACCCTTTTGTTTCCACCATTCAGGGGGTTGGTTATATATTTTGACTTCTCAGCTGATAGTAATCTTAGAAAATGAAAACGATGATGAATACGGGTTGTCAGGAAAGCTTTCAGGAACCAGATCTAAAGTTTACGAGCCCTCAGTGGCAATATTTTAGCATCAGAAGAGAAGAATGCGATTCTGGCTTTAACAATTCTATTCCAGGATAATGGAACAGCCCCAACGTTTACAGTTTCCCTAATATTGGGGTGCGGCGTCTCATCTTCCTTTCGTCATTGGGATTTATCTCGGTATAGTCAGGGCTCAGTACACTAATCAAATTTCATTCCAATTTTGAAGATACCTCATTCGTATTACGGCATAGGAACCATTTAAGTTCTAGAACGATGGTTTTTCTCAGTTCCTCCACAACAGACCACTATCCTAATCCATTTATGATTACTCCCAACTCTAATTTTACTTTATATAATCTATATATATTGCAATTATAATTAGAATGATCAAGTCAAGGAGGATGAGGTGGGCAGGGAATGTAGCACGAATGGGAGAGACGAGGAATGCGTATAGGATATTGGCG